TTGGCAGGGCTTTGACTGCAAGAGATTTCAGGTCCCACGGGCGCCACTCTGTTCAGACTATTCTGGCCATTCTCTCACCAAGGAAAGGAAGAAGCACTTCTGGAACCATGTCTCCTTGGCGTTGTGGTCCTGTATCCTGCTAAGAGCAAATGCAGCTCCCTTCGCAGCTGGAATCTGCTACTTTGGGTGCTTCTGTGGAGATTCAGACCCGTTTCATTGCAGTGGGTGGTTGTGGCAGGGGTTTGCAGGCGGCGGCTCCCCCTTGGCTTTTTGTGTCACTTTATTCTATCTCTACACTTTATGACCAGCTGGGTTAGCTCAGTTGGTTAGAGCATGGTGCTAATAACGCCAAGTTCACAGGTTCAATCCCTGCTTACTGCAGGGGGGTTGGGCTCGATGATCTCTCAAGGTCCCTTCCAACTCAAAGCATTCTATGATTCTATGTCCAAAGCGATGAATGTACTCCCGCTGTTGAAAGTCTGCCTCGTGGGTCATGCTCCATTGGTCTGTGTACTGAAATGGTGGTGTAGCCATTGCTGTTGAGATTCAGGGATGCAAGTTTAGATGCTTCTGTTTTCCCTGTAGCCTCTTGCAGAGCAGCTAATGGAGGCCTTATTTGCAATAGTGCCAGTCATGAGGTAGCAACGAAGGCTTCCCTGTCCCACGACCATGACTGCCCTGTGCTTGTGTGTGTTTGCATGTCATTGCTCATGTTTTTGTCAGATAACCAGATATTTCTGTACTTGTCATTGAGCCTGGCATGTGTTTATATGGTTTATTGCATGAGTGAATGATAGTGCTTTTCATATGACCGACATGAAGATATCTTCCACCTGTCTAATGAGTATACGCTTCAGTCTTGTTATGAGGTGCGTATGTCAGGTTTGAAGCATTCTTGCAAAAGAAGATGATCAAGGAAGGGGCTGCGGTCATGTAAATTTTGGGAACGGGCTGTGGGTTGGCAATCTCCTTTGCTGGATACATTTCTATGGCATTGCTATTGTGGAATCTTTGTGTACTAGGGGATGACATTATGGGGTTTTTTGGTCTTTTTTTTTAAGCTGTCCAGAAAAAGAATGTAAAGAATTGTGTAATGATCTGCATGAATTGGGAAAGAGCGGTAGGGAAATGGACACCCCCATCTTTGTGCCTTATTTTGGTATGTTTGGCGAACAGATTACTGTATAATTACCTTGTTCTCATAGATAACTGTAGAAAAAGAGGTCTTTCTTCCTATGTTATACTGGCTGTGCCTAGCTGTTTGCTTAGTGCTGGGTAAAATCAGACTAATTTACAGTATTAATCTTAAGGCTTTTGAATTATAATGACGAGATTCTTTCTTCTTTTGTGAGGAAAACTTGTCTTGGATAACCATCTTTGGTAATGGAAATCCTGGAATCATGAGGTTCCTACGTACGTTGTGAATTCTGGATCATCCGAGTTGTAGTGTGGCACCTGGCTGATATTCTGGCAAGAACCAGCGTTTTAGTGACAGACACTTTGTTGTCTGGTGCTGCTCAGTGCTTTGTTGTATTTTTACTTGAAGTCCTGTCTGAAAACTTGGGAATTCTCTAGTCTTCATTTTGGCCTTAGATTTGTCGCTCTGGGAGCTCTGTGTCTCATGAAAGAGGTAAAGTGAAATTGAGTTCGTGGCTTATGCTTTGGCAGCTGTACTGCTTATGCAGCCCTTCCTCTCCATCCTTGCTGATAATTCCTGTTGCTGCACTACCCTCTCCAATATGCTGCTTTTCTATGGTTTTAGGATAACTACATTGAGAACTGGTCTTGTTGAAGTAAAAAGAAACAGTTTTATAAACAAAATGGAAGAATTCATGAAGAGATGCGAGAAAGAACAACTCCAAATGGCTTGGAACTAATTAAATTGGTAGTTGGAAGAACTGGGCATCAGATGTGAAGTTGGCCTGGAACTGGAAGAACTTACTACAAGGTGGTTGCTGGGGACTAGTGAGCAATATATCCTATTTTTGGAATATGCTGATACTGGGATTCTGTATGTCCATGCTCTTAACCCAGTGGAATAGCTGAGGAGCAGGATGGAAAGCTGACACAGAACTCTTACTTTGTGTATTACAGTTGCTTCAATATTTTGTTGTCAGTTCTCCCATTGCTCCAAGTATTCTCTGTGAAAATAATCGTGGAACAAAAGAATTAACCAGACTTTTATGAAAAGCATCTAACTATTTAAATAGACAAATGTCAATTCCTGGGTTTGCAACAAATGATAATAGTTTCATTTGTTTCAGTATGTAAATTAAAGCATATGCAATTCCTGACAAAAATTATAGTTACATGTATAAATTAAATTCCTGTTGAACTCCCTGATTCCCACAATATAACAGTGGCCAACAAATTGACACAGCTTCTATCTGCAAGGAATTGTTTCTATCCATGAAAAAATCCTTAATGCTGAGTCCTGTAACCGGTAAAGCTACATTCAGCTTTGCATTGGTAGCAACACTGATAGTCACAAAGTCCTGTGTTTTTCAGTTATGCTGATTACATCAGTTATTTGGCAGGTTTAAATTACATCGTGAAAAGCTGCAGGGGCATATTTGCCTGAAGTGCCCTTGCGCAGAAATGGCAATCTTATTTGGCAAGGCTTTCAGTGTAGAATATTTTCATTTGGATGGCAGTTTTATGTAGAACATACAATTTTAAGTTTGGTAGTATGATTTTTATTTACAAATAAAATATTTAGAATTTGTAGGTACTGTAACTTTGTGCTCTGTAACTTTCTGAATGTGTTAAGAGCTTTGGAAGTGGAAAATACCAGCATCTGTTCAAAATTTTGATCACATTTCCTGAGAGGAGGCCTTCTGTAAAGTAATTATGTTTGATCTTGCTGGAAGTATATAAGCCCTATTTTGAAGAATTGGGAGGGTAAATCCTATACATCAATGACTATTAAATTTGAATGCTCCCCCACCCCCCCCGCCCCGCTTCTTTAAAGGTTTATTTGTTTGTGAGACTAATACCATGTTTCCAGTCCATTGCCTGTAAAGCATCCTTAAGTATGGAAAACTTCATTCTGTATGAGGAGATTGGAAGAGGAAATAAAACAGTTGTTTATAAAGGAAGAAGAAAGGGGACAATTAATTTTGTTGCTGTTCTTTGCACTGACAAATGCAAAAGAGCTGAAATAACAAACTGGGTAAGTAATGCTTTTTTCCTGCTAAATCTGGGAAAAAGATACAGCCCTACAAAATCTTTTATAGTGCCTGTGCTACAAGGAAAAATACCACATGCTTCTTTACATGGAGTTTGTCACCATTTAGATCAGCTTTTAAATTCTTATACTTTAAATAGTCTTATTTTAATGTATTTATTTCTTCAACTGGTTTATTGTTGTTTAAATCACATGCATAAACCCATGTTTATAGGTTTACTGTTTCTATGATATGTCAAACAACTTGCAAAAACAGTTGCATGTAGTGGTTTGCTTTATTTTGTTATCAGTTTGTGCAAACCCAGTGGTAGCAATACCTTCCAGTAAATAATAATTTTTCCTTGGTAGTAAGAAATTGATTTTTGATGAAGGAATAGCATTTAATGTAAATCAATTTGAGTTTGTAAAAGCTTAGCAAAGTTTTAAACATATAATACTTTCTGGAAAAGAAACTGTATCAGTTACAGTTTGACTTTTCAAATATTTTATTTTTCCAGTAAATAAATTTTGTTTCTGTGGTGGGTTGACCTCGGCTGGATGCCAGGTGCCCACCAAGCCCCTCTACCACTCCCCCTCCTCAGCTGGACAAGGGAGAGAAAATATAACAAAAGGCTCCTGGGTAAAGGTAAAGACAGGGAGAGATTACTCAGCTATTACCATCTCGGGCAAAACAGACTCAACTTGGGGAAATTAATTTAATTTATTACCAATCAAAACTGAGTAGGGTAATGAGAAGTAAAACCAAATCTTAAAGCACTTTCCCCCTGCCCGTCCCTTCTTCCTGGGCTCAACTTTACTCCCGATTTTCTCTACCTCCTCCCCCCCCCCGAGCGGGGAGGGGGATGGGGAATGGGAGTTGTGGTTCATCACACGCTGTCTCTGCTGCTCCTTCCTCCTCAGGGGAGGACTCCTCACACTCTTCCCCTGCTCCAGCCTGGGGTGCCTCCCACAGGAGACAGTCCTCCATAAACTTCTCCAATGTGGGTGCTTCCCGCGGGCTGCAGTTCTTCATGAACTGCTCCAGCGTGGGTCCCTTCCACGGGGTGCAGTCCTTCAGGAGCAGACTGCTCCAGCGTGGGTCCCCTGCAGGGTCACAAGTCCTGCCAGCAAACCTGCTCCAGCGTGGGCTTCTCTCTCCATGGGCCCACAGGTCCTGCCAGGAGCCTGCTCCAGTGCGGGCTTCCCACAGGGTCACAGCCTCCTTTGGGCACACCCACCTGCTCCAGCATGGGGTCCTCCCCGGGCTGCAGGTGGATATCTGCTCCACCATGGACCTCCATGGGCTGCAGGGGCACAGCCTGCCTCACCATGGTCTGCACCATGGGCTGCAGGGGAATCTCTGCTCCGGTGCCTGGAGCACCTCCTCCCCCTCCTTCTGCACTGACCTTGGTGTCTGCAGAGTCCTTCCTCTCACATATTCTCACTCTGTCTGGCTGCTGTTCCCCAGCAGGTTGGTTTTTTTTTTTTTCCCCTCCTTCTTAGATATGTTATCATAGAGGCACTACCACTGTTCTTGATTGTCTCGGCCTTGGCCAGCGGTGGGTCTGTCTTGGAGGCGGCGGCATTGGCTCTATCAGACATAGGGGAAGCTTCCAGCAGCTTCTCACAGAAGCTACCTCTGTAGTCCCACCGGTACCAAAACCTTGCCACGCAAACCCAATACCATTTCATATTCCCTCTTATTGTTTCAGTGGTAATTTATTGGGTGATTAATGAATTGGCTCTATTTAAACATTTTGTTCTTAGAAGTACATTCATCTTAGAAAGCCCTTGGGGATACCTTACATACCACTCTGACAAGATATGGAGACTTCTGCAGAGATTAGGCCATGTAGGTGCGATAGAAATAGAGATTTCCAGGGACCCTTGAATGATTGCTCTTGCCTGTTAAGATTAAGAACAATGGAAACATTTCTTTTTACTTCCTCTTACTTGTGTTCACCATATTGTCTCACACTTGTGTTCTCATTGGAAAAAAAAAAAAAAGTAGGAATGCAAATTTGATTCCAAATTCTGATTGCCAGTTTGTTATTGTGATGCAAGAAGGTTAAATAGTGCTTATAATTTTGGGTTGGCAAACTTCCTTTTTATTTTCTCCCCTCTATTTTTAAAAACAGTTGGGCAGAGTCTGTGAGGAAAGTTATCTTTCTTCAACATGCATGTAAAACTAAAATATTTGCATTGGAGAATAATTTTAGTGCACTGGAAAAGGTAAGAGAACAAGTAGTTGATCTAGGGTAAACTTGTATTATCTCTTCCCCCCCACCCCATAAGTCCATTGTTGTGGTTTAACCCCAGTTGGCAACTAAGCACCACACAGCCACTCCCTCACCCTCCCCCATCCCACCGGGGGAGGGGAGAGAATCGGAGGGGGGAAAGTAAAACCTGTGAGCTGAGATAAAGGCAGTTTAATAGGACAGCAGAGGAACAGGAAAAAAAAATGATAAAAGACTATACAAAGCAAGTGATGCACAATGCAATTGCTCACCACCTGCTGACCAACGCCCAGCCCAGTCCCTGAGCAGTGATTGCTGCTCCCTGGCCAACCCCCCCTCCCCCCAGTTTCTATACTGAACATGATGTTATATGGTATGGAATAGCCCTTTGGTCAGTTTGGATCAACTATTCTGGCTGTGCCCCCTCCCAGTTTCTTGTGCCCCTGGCAGAGCATGGGAAGCTGAAAAGTCCTTGAGTAGCATAAGCAGTACTTAGCAGCAACTAAAGCAGCAGTGTGGTGTCAACATTATTATCCTAAATCCAAAACACAGCACTATGCCTGCTCCTAGGAAGAAAATGAACTCTATCCCAGCTGAAACCAGGACATCTGTGTATATTTCTTTTTTTTTTTTTTTTTTCAGTTAAGTATGTTAAAAACTTTGTTCTAGGTTCGTCTGACTCATGAAATCAGACACAAGAATATAGTGACATTTTACGAATGGTATGAAACAAGCAACCATCTCTGGCTTGTAGTGGAATTATGCACAGGTAAGATAAGCTTAAAAGATAAAAATTTATAGAGTGAATATTTGTAAGAAGTTTCTTGTAACAGTTTCTCCACAACAAATACTTGTTCTTCTCTGAAAGAAAGTACTGAGCAAGGGGAAAAAAAAGCTCAGGAAAATCTATTATGTGATTTGGAACAAAAGATCTAGTATCCTTTTCTATGAAGAGCTCTCCTAATCCTTGTTTTCATTCAGGGACTTAAATTTGTGTCTCAAAATTTTCTTTTTTTTTTTTTTTCTTTCCAATCTGCATGATTTGGCTAAGAGGTAAATAATAGATAATCCAGGAAACCCATAGCTAATTCACGAAATACAAATTGTAGTCTCGGGGGAACAGGTTTGGTGCAGGAGTAGTAAAGGACCAAATGAGGTTGAGGAAAGGGATTTGGGGAGAGATGGGAACGTGGAATTTAGGATAGGAGACTGGGATGGGAAGGAGGAGAAAGACTGTTTGAGCAATGAGTTGTGGGAAATGAGATTAGGAGAAGTCCAAGTCCTATGAACAGTTAGGACAGGAATGGCTCAAATGGGATAAGTCTGATGAAGTACCTGAGAATCAGTGGGATGCGAGGAAGTAGGTGATGGGGGTAGAAGAGATTTTTGCAAGGACAGAGAAACAGTAGCAATCAGTGGGGGAAAACCTAGAGAGTGAATGTGAAGCCCAGAGAAGGACACAGGTGATAGAGTATTTATGTGAGGGGTAATTAGAACGCTTTGTAGGAGTAATCTTATCAGAAACAGAGGAAGGGTTGGTTGGAATTTAGTGGAGAAGGAGACTGGTGATTTTGGAAGGATAGAGAAGGGTCTCAGGTTAGGATGAGAAGTCCAGAGAGGTACGAGTAGGACTTGTTGGGCCAGGAAGCTGGGGTTTGTGTGAGAAACCTGGAAAATGAAAGTTTAGTCCTGGGTATTTTTGTTTTGTTTTTTAAAATCCTTTTTTCTTTTTTTTTAAAAAAAAAAAAGAAAGAAAGAAAAAGAGGAAAGGATGAAAATGAAAGAACTGGGGCACGAGTCAAGAAAAGGACTGTACAGAAATACTATGCGTGAAGAACAAACAAAAGTATCTGTTGTATGTTGTTGAGCTCAGGACCCCAGAATGTAACTCAGTTCTACTATTTCTGTTGTCTGTGAATTCAGTGGAAAATTGCATGTCGTTAGCTTTAGCACTTGTTCACAGAAGTTGATAGCCTGCTCTTGGTATTGTTCTTTTAACTCATACAGCAGGGATCTGGTTAAAGAATTTGAATAAACCCATTGGGTACTATTACACTGTGATGTGACGCAGTTTCTGGGTTTCTTTTTTCCCTTCTGTTTCCTTTGTAAAATAAATCAATATTAAAGTAATTTTGAAGTCATGCACTCAATTTAATTCTAGTCCAAATTAAGATTTTTGTCACAGTATTGGAAATAGATTTTTTTTTCTGTACACCTCAGATTTTGTAACTATTAGATAATCTCAAGAAATATTTTTAATGTCTACTGATAATGATTTTTGCTTGACATCTTTTGAAGAAACTTATATAATGTCTTTGGGAATTATTTGCATGGCATCTTCTTTCTATGCACCTGCTGACTGTGTAAACATATTTCAGGTGGTTCTCTAGAATCTGTTATTGCTCAAGATGAACATCTACCTGAAGATGTAGTGAGAGAATTTGGTGTTGATTTGATTGCTGGTTTGTACCATATTCATAAGCTTGGAATAATCTTTTGTGAACTGACACCTGGAAAGGTAAGAAGGAGTATTATTTATAGGGGACATTAGTAGTGTGTGTTACTTTGTATGCCATCAGCATTTAATTAATTATTTCTGTTCTACTGTTTGGAAGAGACTTACCTCAGATTGGAGGCCAGTTGAGCTCTATAGTATATGTGAAGACAATGAGAGACAAGTCTATAGCTTAAATATTTGATGAGCTAATTGATTTCTTTCCCTTTTGTATGTTTGATACAATGTGATAGATTCTTTTTGATTTGGTGTACTGGTTTGAATTAATGAAGGATTTTGGTTCTCTGTCCTCAGACATATAACTCTGTTATACCTATTCTATCATGCTGCAGAATATTCTGAAGTCATAGAAAATGCTAATGAGGAAGTAAAGTTAACTAAACTTTGTTGGTAACCTTCTCTATTGTTTCCAAATGCCATTTAAATTATCATCTTACTCTTTCATAAAAATACAAATCTTTATGTAGTTTCTGATTTTGTGTATGTGTGTGGAAATTATGTATAGTTTTGTCAAAGTCCATGTTTGTTTTTAATTTATGTAATAACCAGAATATAACTATAACCAAAAATTCTTGCTTAACAGTAATTAGTTTTGATCTTGATCTGTAAGTGATCAAGTTGCCCTTCTCTGAATTTTCTGTAAAATCTTGCACGATTATACTCAGTTGCAGTCATTTATGGGTCTAAAAGCACTAAAATATATATATATATGAATAAAGCATAATGGAGATGCCTCTGTATTCTTCCAAAGAAGAATGTTGCTGTAAAGTACTCCTTTGAACACAAAATACAGAGTGCAAAGTAAGACTGCTTTTTTTTTTCTTTGCCTGTCCC